GGGTTTCAGGGTCTCAGGGTTTAGGGGTTATGGGGTTTAGCGGTTTAGGGGTTTATGGCTTATGGTTTAGGGGTTTAGGGTTCAGGGCTTGGGGTTGCGTAAAGGTCTCCAAGGAAAGGATTTATTAATGTTTCTGGGAGAGGGATGGATCCTGATTTGGGAGCCTTCTCTACACCAACATGAAAACGACGTTCTTAAGCTATAGAGATCTTCTGATGAAGAATGAGGCTGCATTGGGCTCTATGAGCAGGATCCAAGGCTCAGCATTTTGGGTTTAGGGTTGCGCTTGGCGGGGCCTTGGGCTGCAACCAAAACAGGGTTTGGATGTATCTTTCACTATACTTGCATGTTGAGTGTGAGGGGTTGCTACTTACTCAGACGCCTGCTCAGTGCGTAAGATTCAGTATGCCCTAAGCCCTAAACCCTAAACCCTAAACCCAAACCCCTAAACCCTAAACCCCAAGTCTGGGTTTTGTTTGCAGTGTTCAAGATGACACACCACGCAGGGATTCGGCTCGATAAGGCTTCGAACCCTAGAGCCGCACACCCGAAACCGTTTGGGTTAAGTTGAGCCCTACCCAAAGGCCCCATAGTAGTTCCTTTTTGGGATTACCTTATAGGATTCTATATATGAACCCCAAAAAAGGAACTACTATGGGGCCTATGGGTAAGCCCGAAACATGCGTCCTAAAGTTAACACTCAAGCACCTGCGGCAAGAAGCTTGCAGACGAGCTAGAAGCGAGGTTGCTGCGGAGTGACAACCAAAGCTGAAATTTCGGGCAAGCCTAGTTACCTTACATTACCCTCGGTCCCCCCGGCCCCAGTTCTAAATCTTAACAGCCCTCTACATCGATAGATAAATACATATATATATATATGTACAAACTACACCCTATACCCTCTTACCCTTTATGTAGTTGGTAGGTCTGACTCACGGCCTTCGGTTCAGTCTTTGCCTCTTCCGCTTCTATGGTTGCCGGCATGTCCTGACGGTCATGGCTGTTGGTTTTTCAGGGGTCTCTAGGCTTTAGGGCCAGGGTCTTTTCGGCGTGCACGGTTTGGATTCGGGAGTCATGTCCAGTCTGAGTATCTCAGATCGCAGACTCCTCATCGTGTTAGGTTTAAGGTGAGGGGTTAAACAGTCAATACTGAAAAATGTCGAGTGGATCTAAACTATCACTGCCACCACCATCACCACCCCCACCACCTCCACCACGACGACGACTACGACTACGACTACGACTACGACTACGACTACGACTACGACTACGACTACGACTACGACTACTACTACTACTACTACTACTACTACTACTACCTACTGCTACTACTACTGCTGCTACTAGTACTGCTGCTAC